TGCGCGTAAGCGCCTGCAAACGTTATACAAGTTCGTTACGAGGCAAAGCATGCAGCAAAGGAAGCTTCTCAGAAGCTTCCTTTAGTGCACGCGTGGGGCTGGCTAGCTCGGCTAGCCGCAGCGGGGTGCGCTGCAACCCCATTTCGGGCTGCCTCCTCCCCGCGCCACCCTGGCCCTGAGCTCAACGCCCAGGATGCCTAGGTTCCGCGGAAGGAGGTCAGCTGCCTTGTGGGAAACACTTACTTTAAGTCTTTGCCTTCATTGCGGCTCGTCTCTGGTCAGGTCAAGGCCAGAGAACCAGCGTTACATTGCGAGCGCTGAGAGGTGCACTCTCTCATCACTTCCAGGCGGAATGACCTCGATGGCATCATCAGGGGAACGCATTTGCGCCTTCCGCTGGGTCACCCACGGCATGCCTAGTATTATGTAGTGGGGAACAGGTCCAACGAAGACGTCCCTAGTCATAGGAATGTGCCCTGTTTTGGAGCTGATGGAGCATTTTATGCCCATAGTTTTGCCGCTTCCAGTATCCTGCCTGCCATCTGCGAAGCGTAGGCTCAGACATTGAGCCAATGAGTAGACCGGCAGGCTGCATCTCCTTGTTGCGGCTTCCGATATCATATCCACTTCACATCCCGTATCGAGTAGGGCCATTAAATCCTGTCCCTTTATTCGTACTTGTACAAGTACTGAATTGACTCGAGGTGGGTCTGTAGGTGCGGCCATTATCTCGGGTGACCCCTTCACTGCGCCGCACGTTGCGTAGGGGGCCGGGCGTTTCCCTGCTTGCTCTGTTTGTTCCCTTGGCGGCGCTGTTCTGGATTTGGTTTCAATTGTTCCCTAGCCTTTTCCATAAGCCGGCAGTCTCGAAATAAGTGACCCTGTTTACTGCAGCAGAAGCAAGTACGCCGTTCAGAGTCTCCGTCTTGCTTTCTCGGCGGTGAGTTCGCCGTCTGCTGACGGTAGCCGCCTCTAGTCCCGTGTTTAGCTGGCTTGGTGTTCCCAGTCCCAATATCCATTAGGTCCAAATCGGGATCGTTCCGAGGCCCGCCTTCTTCCTTTTCAGCTAAGGCTGTGGATGTGGCGTTTTTCTTTTCCATTCTGCGGAGGTATTCCACCATGTCAACGAGATCCACATTTTTGCCCCTCATTCCCTTGTCCGTGGCCCAGCCAGTTACTGTTTGCCTCACTACGGGGGACAGGCCCACTATAAACCAATTACAGTGGGGCTCCGCAGCCACCATAGGACTTCGCTTCACCAAGGACTGGTATTTCTCAATGTAACGCTCTATTGACAGTTTTCCCTGTTTAAGCTTTCTCAGTTCCTCCATAGCCTGCTCTCTTGCGGACCTCGGAATAAACATGCAACGTAGCGCGTCCCGGAAGGCCTGCATGGACATGCTGTGCTCCGGGAACGTGGAGCCTTTGCTTAAGTGGAGCCACCAGCGCCATGCGTCCTCTTCTAACAAGGAAGAGGCTAGAAGTAATTGGAATTATTCTGGGGCACCTTGTGGGCGGAGATATAAGTCTTGGGAATCAAGCAACTCCTCTACAGCCTCTGCATCCCGCCGCCCATCATATCGCGTAGGACAGCACAACCGGAGTCACATCTATTGAATCGCTTTTGGCGGGAATGCATTTTCTCCAGAATTGGATGCCGAAATGGAGCTGGTTTCCGCTTGCTGGGGTTGCAGACCGTGTGTCGACCCCCCTCTGTGAGTGGATCATAGTCAACCTCCATTTTGCTGAAGAGAACACTGAAATTGGAAGATATTTTGTCTACGAAGGAAATGGGTTTTGTTTCGAAATAAATAAACGGACAAATTGAATTTTATTTACCTTGCGATTGTCTTTTAATTGATGCTTGATGTCACCCGTGTGGAGATCGGGCCCCGGCTCGCACCTTGCCCTGATGAACCATGCGGTGCTACCAAGTATAACGCCTGTTCTCTGGCCTTTATCTGGCCAGAGACAAGCCGCAATGTAAGCAAAGGCTTAAAGCAAGAGTTTCCCAAAAGCAGCTGACGTCCTTCCCCGGTCCCTAGGCTTCCCGGGCGTTGAGCTTAGGGCCTGGGTGTTGCGGGGATGAGGCTGCCAGAAATGGGGTTGCAGCGCACCCCGCTGAGGCTGGTAGTGCAAGCCAGCCCCACGCATGTACGTAATGAAGCTTCAGCGAAGCTTCCTTTGCTGCATGCTTTGCCTCTGAACGTACTTGTAGAACGGTTGCAAGCGTTTGCACGCAACGTGCCAAAACCAGGTGAAAGCTTCTGCGCTAACTAATGCTACACAAGTACTACAGAAGCTGCCTCCTCCCCCGCAACCCCAGTGTAACGCTGGTTTCTCCGGCCTTAGACCTGACCAGAGACGAGCCGCAATGAAGGCAAAACTTAAAGTAAGAGTTTCCCAAAAGCAGCTGACCTCCTTCCGCGGTACCTAGGCATCCTGGGCGTTGAGCCCAGGGCCAGGGTGTCGAGGGGAGGAGGCAGCCCGAAATGGGGTTGCAGCGCACCCCGCTGCGGCTAGCTGAGCTAGCCAGCCCCACGCGTGCACTAAAGGAAGCTTCAGAGAAGCTTCCTTTGCTGCATGCTTTGCCTCATAACGAACTTGTATATCGTTTGCAGACGCTTACGCGCAGCATGCCAAAGCTGTCGATAGGCTCCTGAGCTAACTCTGCGCTAACTCATGTTACACCCAGACCCTCAGCTGAGCGCCCAGGATGCCTGGGGGCAGGGAGGGTATGTCAGCTGCATTGAGGAAACTCTTGCCTCAAGTCGTTGGCTCAATTCAGCTCTCTTCTGTCCTTGAATAGGGCCGGAAAGCGCGCTTTGCCGGGAACCTCCGGGTTTGCCCGAGAAGTTTACAAACTATCAAAGCTAATCAATATATACTAATATATTGAAAATGACACAAGTTGCTTAATTCAATTAACGTCTAATAAGAATTCCAATGGCATCAGCAGGAATACTCATACAGTCACTACTCTGCAGGGTCGCCAGCCGACGGTCGAACGGAGACATCCGTTAGTTGAAAAGAAACATACACAAAATAAAACTGATAATCTTGGTTCCAGGGAAAATATCCGAAAACAAAAGTCCGCTTGTCTAGGGCGCGGCCGAACGCCCGTTCTGCTGACATCCCCTGGCGGGAGATTCTGTAGTCGATCTCCCGTCCCCAAGGTGTCAGTATGCCCGGTTGGTGTCGGCCAGCGTTGTATAGCTCCCGCTTAAGCGGTCATGATGAGTCCGCTGTACGGACTGTCTAAATAATGTATTCTACGGATGCTTTAACTAGAAGGTCACGCATCTATTCACTTGTAGGGCTCGCGCACTACAGTTCGCGCCGTGGACGGCAAGCCCATGGGATGAAGCACTCGATACGAGTTTCGAGTTGAAGGACAAGTTCTGTCAAATTACTTTTTGTTTGTAATAGCCATCAGAAGTTGTTTTTTCTGTCATTAGTTTGTGAAAAAGAATTTCGTGAGGCCCACACAAGCTGCATCGCCAGCTTGCAGGTTACCTCTTTCGCTGCCCCGTTCCTTCCTTAACATTCTCTGCGCTTTTTGTGGAGTCATTCACTTGAAGAGTGGCATTATCTTTGCATGATCTGCATTCGAGCCAATTAGTTACCATCGAAATGTGTTGGGGCGGTTCAGCAAATCAACCTCCCTCCAAGCGATCAGCCTAGGAGGGGTCTGTTGGCATCTATGCTACCTTGGATGGTCCTCCGGGTTACTGGTGTCATTGTGACAATGAAAAGCAAGAAGCAGTCATTCAAGCTGCCTTGCTTGCGCAGCTGTTTCTGGTGTTTGTGGCTGTTTGTGGCGCTCTGGATTGTGGAGCAGCAGAATGTGTACTCATCACGGGCATCAGGTAGAAACGCCGCCGAGGAGGATG